CCTCTGGCTCATGCATTTTTAAGAACATATTAATATTATACAGTTCTTTTTTCACACAGATGAGCCGTTGTTTTACCACGTTCGTGTCATTTGTTCTGAATTTGCACTGCTTATTACAGTGGCTGTCGGTGGACGAGCTTTAACAAATTATTTTCCGCTGCAATTACCAGAACGCCCTTTAAAGTGTCACCCCTGTCGCGTAGTTTGAAACATAAAGTGGTTGCAAGAAAACTGGATCTTAGTCCAGCACATCTGTAAGAATTTTCTTGGTAATCTGTAGATCGACGCAGTACTGGACCGTGGACTTTTTATATCGTTAATAAACAGTTGAAACAAAACCAGCTTCTCTGTAAAGTCCAGCCTTCTCCACATAAATGAATGAAACACTGCCTTTGGTAAATCATAAAAACAACATATACCCCACCTTAGAAATAAAACATGTAACACTGTGATTGTGTGAGGGAGTAGACAGGACTTGAAGCTCCACATCCCTTGTGCAGACTCTGGTTCCAAAACAAAAACTGGTTCTGCTAGCTTCAGTTTCCAACAGAAGATTTATTTATTTGGTCTATTAATATAAACAGTTAATGTAACGGATGATTCAGAATGGATTCACTTGATTATGAAGCGCAGGATTCACATTCAAAACCATTATAAAAGCATGGTTCTCAAACAGTGCAGTGATGGGATCTGAAGAAAAACCTTTATTATTTACAGCTTCAGTCACAAGCCAGTTGCATACTGTCCAGTGGTGCTTGAAAGTTTGTGAATTTTTTATCGTTTTCTACATTTTGACACAAATTTGACCTAAAACATCATTTTCACACAAGTCCTATAAATAGAGAACCCAGTTAAACTAATGAGACAGAATATTATACTTGGTCATTTATTTATTGAGGAAAATGATCCAATATTACATATTTGTGATGGTAAAAGTATGAACCTTTGCTTTCAGTACCTGGTGTGACCCCCCCGCAGCAAACTGTTGATCAGTCCTGCAGACTGGCTTGGAGGAGTTTTAGCCCATTCCTCTGTACAGAACAGCTTCAACTCTGGACGTTGGTATTTCCTCACATTAACTCATTTCAGGTCCTTCCACAACATCTGGATTGGATTAAGGTCAGGATTTTGACTTGTCCATTCCAAAACATGAACTTTATTCTTCTTGAACATTCTTTGGTAGAACGACTCGTGTGCTGAGGGTCATCGTCTCGCTGCATGACCCACCTTCTCTTGATTCAGTTCATGGACAGATGTTCTGACATTTTCCTTTAGAGTTCTCTGATATAATTCAGAATTCATTGTCCCATCAATGATGGCAATCCATGCTGGCCAGATGCAGCAAAACAGACCCAAATGATGAAACTACCACCACCATGTTTCACAGATAGGATAAGGTTCTTACGCAGGAACGCAGTTTTACTTTCTCCACACATAACACTTTTCATTTAAACCAAATTATTCTATTAAACAAATTAAAATTTAATAGCTTATTAAAATTAAACAAATTAATTTAGTATTCAACACGGTTAGATTTATATTTTGTTTACTTTCCCCACAAAATGTTACTTCAAAATGACCAAACCACTCCATTAAAAGTGCATTGAAACCCATTAAAAAAACCCAGTAAGGACTTGGCTTAGTATTGAGAAAATGTCCCTTTAAATACATTTATCAGTCGTTTGACAAATCTATGGATTGTTTAATGTTTCTGCACCAGTGAAGAGGTTCAGGGGAAGGCCCAACACAAAACACTTTAGGACACTTAAAATAAAACATGGCTCGACTATGATGGAGGAGCTCTCTCTTCTGATGAGAGCATCTTTGGATGTCGGACACAAACATCATACTGAGAGGAAAAACAAAAGTCAAGAGTCCCCAGTGCCATTTTTATTGAGTCATAACGCCACTTCAACAAGCCAAACATCACAGAGTGACAGTTTAATAGAAAAATGAAGCATGATTTAAAAAAGGAGTGCAGTAGAAAAGCTAACAAAAATAACGTACTGGTATTTTTGGTACAATAAAAAAGTTTTTACAAGAAGACAGTGGCATACCATGCAGTAACAAAAACACAGAAATGGTACGATAAAAGGAAGCGATGGAGGTTTATGAAGTGAAATTATTTGATCTGGTCATATATCCACACAAGCCAATCCCACTGGCATTGTCTGGATAACGGGTAGAAATACAGTTCTATACACGAAGACTTTACGAAAACAAAACGCTAAATAAACTGAGCACAGGACGAGCAGGTTAGCCACCACCCTCCATGACTTTATCTCAGATCATTCCGTGTGGAACCAAAGCACAGCTGAGATTTCTCGAGGCTTTGACAAAGATCAGATCTGCTGTGGTCCCTGACAGACTCCGGCTTTTTCACCTCAGGAAAAAAACCAAACAAGAATAAAACTAAACTAAAGTAAACTAAACGGGCTGTAGAGTGTTTTCTAAACAGGAAATGATTTTCTTGTGGCTAAATGATACTAACAGTATGTGGGGTCAGCGATGAGGATATTAAAGAGTTTATCAGGTCTGACACGAACAATAAACTGGTTGCTTTGTGTTATTCACTGGCAAAAGTATTTTATGGTTTCAAACAGACACTACTAAGAGTCAAAGCAACATGAGCAGCTACTTAAGATTCTCGAATTTCTTCATCTCTGCTGTACGAGATGCTGTATTTTCCCGTTTTATTGAGAATGTCGTGGTGGTGAGTGGTTACCATGGCGACACTAACGAGCCACAAACTGAAGTTTTGAACGTTTCTTTTGAACTTTGTTCTGTTTACACATCAAAACATCAACATTTGGTCCCATTTTTGCAAAAGCCCAGAACTGCTTTTTGACTTTAGGAAAGAAATTTGATGTTGAATTTTGGGAAGCACACATTTTGGCGCCCTTCAAAGTGTCTTTAGAAACCGCGGAGTTTGGATTAACATCAACCTCTGGAGTGATGGATTTCATAAAATGAGCACAAATGTTATTTGAATGTATGCTGAGGAATAACACATCTTTGATTTAAACGTCTCAAAGCTTTGCTTTAATTTTATTATCAGTGTGTAAAGGCTGCAGTCAGTGAAGAACTTTTCTAATGCTTTAGTTAAAGTGATTCACTCACGCACTACTTCACTTGTTGCTAGACACAAAACAAATCCAAAAAAGTTAAAAACAAAACAACTGGACTTTATTTGTAACTGAAGACGTTTGGCTTCTCATCTGAGGGGCTTTCTCAATTCAATGAAACGAGGGGTGTGAGATTCAAGTTTCCTCTATTGTGAAGAGTGAGAGGTCAATCTGCATGTGTCAATCTCCATTATGCAAGTTTAAAGAACACCACAGCTTCATTACTTGAATCCCACACTCGTTTCATTGTATTGAGAAAGCTCCTCGGGTGAGAAGCCAAACGTCTTCAGTTACAAATAAAGTCCAGTTGTTTTTGTTTTTAACTCTTTTTGGATTTACCATGTCCTGGACGACTGAGAATCTTCACCAGTGTAAATACAAAACAAAGTTTTGTCTATATGTTGGGTGGACATCAAGCTCATCATAGAATAATATTGTAACAAATCAAGTGTGAACAAACTAACAGATTATTTTACAGAATAGTTTTCATGAGGATGTACTTTGTCCTAAAGATGTGTAGAAATGGACTGAAAATGTTTCTTTCGGACATCAAAGAAATCTTTGTCCCCACACACTTTTCATTTTAAAGTCATTTCCACACAAACATTCACATTTTTGTGTCAATTTTTAACCAGTTTCTATAGTAAAACTTCTATGAACATACAAGTTTTCGTAAAGTGGTGTTTTTAATCCATGTGCCTTGAACATTGTGGAAAAAAAAAAAAAAAACATAAGTTGGACCAAAGGAAATGATAGCTGGAGGGACAAAAACATTATTTACAGGTTTTCTAACTAGTTTATGGTTCTAATAACAGAGGCGAGAGGTGTCCTTTGTTAGAAATGTCTTCATTTGGTAAAATATTGTCCCAAAATGGTAACAGGTGTGTGTGCTGTTGGGTTGGCAGCCATGTTGCTGTATTTGTAACAAACGGGTATGATCTTCCAAACCTGGCCTGTGCCATCTTGCTGTGATTTATATAAGGAGGGTTGAAGTCAGCTCGCCACCTTCATGCCTCTGAGCCATGGGGCGAGGTAGTAGAGTGGTAGCGGCTGACACAGAGAAGGGTGGCATTGTGGCTCGAGGTGTGTTCTAGTGAGACGCACAGATTCACGTGAGCTCATACGGATGGACTGGCAAAGGGCTTCTGTTTGTGATCATACTGGTTTGAGCAACAACTAATGGCTCAAACTTTAAAGTTTTATATGGTAAATGAACTAAATTGGAACACTGAGATGACTTTTAGTCTTTTAGGTGAAAAATACTCTTTGTTCCAGTAATAAAAAGAAAAATAATTATTTCACTTTTTAGAAAATCCAATTGATGTTCTAGAATTTATTTATTTTTCCCCAAGAGCATTTTCTTTTTTTTACTTTTGTTTTTGGGATTGCGTCTGACACGAGCTGTAACTGGAGAGAAACAAGCCGTCCGTCTGTATTGTGCTTCCTAACAGGTCAGCAGGGATCAGCATTGGACACATGAACCCTCAGGAGAAGAAAGGTGTTCCTCAAATCACATCACCTCGACTCTCTACACGTAAAAAAAAAAACTAAACGTGGCCTCAAACGTATGTTTAATAAAAAAAGAAACCTGTCGTGTCTCACAAAGCTTGGTTTACCTCATGAGTCAGAAGGTCTCAAGGCCACTTCAGTTCCTGATTTTTTTAACATCTCCAAGTCTTGACAACGTTTCAGTTCAGTTGGGTTTGATTGCTTTCTGTTTTCTAGTAACTAGTCAACCTCGAGTGTCAGGATGGAATAAACATCTGGCCAAGCAGAGGTTCACCGACCTTCTTAAATATTTAATACATTCAGTAACGTGGATTATTAAGGTTGTTTATGACCAATTCATTTATTATTTATATGGATCGCTGGTCATGCAGCGAGCCATGTTCAAGTGCACGTCTTAAGGCAAAGGTTCCATGCAACAATTGTCAACAAAGGTGGACCAGAACTGGTCCATAAATCCTTGAGCTTGGTGTGTACGGGTCCAGCTGACATATTCTAAATGCTCCTGTCTGTGCAAAACATTTGCCACATGATCAGATGATTTAAGTACTTCATTAAGAATAAGTAAAAATACTGTGTGTAACAGGTGTGCCTTCAGTGTCATCTTCATCACAGTACCATATCACCAGTGCTCAGTAATTCTGAGCCGTAGATTCATCTGGACATGCTTTGGTACTGCAGTTGATCTCAGCACCTCTGAAAGTGCTTCCTGCTGCTCCTGTCATTAACAAGTCTTTATGGATGATCTCAAAGGGCTTTGGCGCTCGTCGTGTGGGAGGTGCTGTGGGACACAGGTTTCTGTGGGTAATGGCTGTAGTAGTAGACCTGGAACAGGATGGCAAAGTCCACAAAGACCTGCAGCAGGCCACACGTCCAGAACTGCACAGGAGCCTGTGTGAGCAGGAAGTAGCCTGTTTTAAAGGTGTCGCCGCTGGTCCACATCAGCACCATCTTGATACTGGAAGGAAAGAAGGAGAGGAAATGCTTCTGTTCAACTGGTCAAACTGATATACAATGGTTTAAAAGAACTTACTGACAGACATCTAACAAGGTTGAGTCAGGTCCTCTGGACAGATTCTTCTTTGTTGAAACTTTCCTCTTTTATCCAAAAGACTTCCTCAGACTGAAGAAGTATTTTGGATAAAAATGTTTCAACCAAGAAGAATCCGTCCAGAGGACCTGACTCAACCTTGTTAGATTTATCTACCTGGATTATTGAGTATGCATCCGGTTATTACCGTATTTTTTGCTGTATAAGTCACAGTTATTTTTTTTGCATAAATTAGCATGCCCTGCGACTTATATAGCAAAGCGACCAATATACATTTTTCCCACATATTTATAACCCAATTTTTGGCTGAGATCTAACGATTTCATTCATTCTGACATGGAAAATATTGAACACCATCATTTTCATCCACTAGAGGGTCCTCGACTAGTATGGCAAGCCAAGTGTCTCATTATTAGGTAAAAGTGGCTATTAATGAGACACTTGGCTTGCCATACAAACCACCTTCGTCTTGCTCCGGAACTCCTGGAGCAAACGTCAAATCAGCTGCAACTGATTTGACCATTAAAGTGCATTTATTAAGGAAAAGTTCAACTGAGACACACCCTTACTATAATGTCGAGCAAACAAATAATTGTTTTTAGGTGGTTATCTTGTTAAATTTCGAAGAAATGCAGTGAGTTGTCCCTTTGCACACTTCTGCAAACCGGCTTTTGAAATGCAGCTGTTTTGACCATTAAAGTACATTTATTAAGGAAAAGTTAGACTGAGATACATCTTTGCTATAATTTTGAGCAAACAATTGTTTTTAAGTGTTAATCTTGTTAAATTCTTGTTAAAGTGCTCCCGTGCACGCTCCCGTGGCCGCCATTTGGCAGCTAATCTGTTTTTGGCACAACACCGGCCCACATTTCAGGGTTGTCAGCGGTGACACAAAATAGATGCGACTTATATGGTGAAGTGACATATTTATGTTTTTTTCACTTTATTAGACATTTTTGGACTGATGCGACTTATATGGCGGTGCGACATGTACGGCGGTAAGTACGGTACTGACAGATACTACTTTTGTAAAGTGATTAAAGTGTAAAGTGCTTTCCAAACTGGAGAACTTTACACCTCACTTTATGGTGGAAACTTAATTTACTTTATTTAGAAAAAAAACACAAAGCAGCCCGTTACACGCCGATGAGAAACCAAAATAGACTGTTTTACCCTTCTTTCTTCTGACTCTTATTTTTATCTTTATACTGTCAAAAAGCTTATTGCTTGCTGAGAAGGTTACTACCTGGAAGGACATTTTAAATGGAGACTGAAAAAAAGAAGCTGGAATTGTTTTGGAAAAATGTTTATCTGAAAAATATCTGTGTAGTCGAGGTCGGAATTATTCCAAAATGAAACGAACGTCCAACTGTGCTACAATTTTCTGACTCTTTCCTTGTTTCCCATCATGCAACACTGTTCCTTAAAAAGTTAAACTGCAAACCACCACAACCACAAAAACATATTAGCACATGGTAATAGTAAAAATTAGACAAATAAATTAGAAGTTTAATTAGTTCTCCATGTGCAGTTAGAGGCTTGTTTTTGGTTTAATGAAACTAGCACACTATCAAGATAATGATACTCATTATTAAAGGTAATAATTACAATATTTAATGCACTTAATCTGTAATATTGGCTTTAAATTGAATGCATAGAATCAATCTTACGATGTGCTCTATGATCAGAAAAGGGAAGTTTGTCAGCTTATGAAAAACTAGCATTTACCTCAGATTTTAAATGGTAACTTAATGATTCCCTCTTTTGGTCAAATGTTGTTAGATGCACAAACTAAAGCATCAAATAAACTCAGGGTGTTATGACAAGAACTGGATTATCCGGTGATGCTGAGCTGAAAGTCAGAGCAAAGACTGAAGTCATCACCTTCTCCATTCAGTGAGTGAGTTCACTTTAAATCGTCTGCAGCATGAAAAAGAAAATGCTTTTAATTATTATGTTTCCTTAAACGCTTCTTTTGCTTGGTGACACTGACACCACTTAATTTTCAGAAAATTCCTGGGTTTAGTTAAAAAAAAAAAAAAAAGAATAAGTAGTTCTGGATATGTTTCTATAAGCTTTTGAGAGAATTTAGCTACATCTTGAAAGTAGTCACAGAGAATAGGTGCTGATCGCAGCAGGAATGTGGGCTGACGTGTTTTATTAGTGCCTGCAGGAAGGAAATGGTAAATCTGACACATCACCAACAGCATGGGAAATTGAAATAATGATTTGAATCAGGGCTCCAGGTAGCTATTGGCTCAATATCCTGCAGCACATGTTTAAAATAACTCACAAGAGAGCACATCGGGTTGTTCATAAAAACATCTTGAAACAAGCTATTGCACAAATTTTAAAGTCAAGTATAACTTTTTTTTAATAAGCAATGGAAGAAAAACATCTGTGTTTTGACAGGTTGGAGTTCATTCAGGAATCCTTTATATCCTTTGACATTTTAAAACAAATAATAAGGCAGAAAAAAGTCTAACTATAAAATCAAACTGAAAGAACCAAAATCACAATGCAACAACAATAACAATAAAATTAATTATGACGTGACAACAATTTTAAGAAGCACAATATATTGAGCAACTAAGACTTAGTCTACCTGAAGTCCCAGTACATCCCTGTGGTCCAGCAGCAGCCTGTGACCGCGAGAACTGTATGGAGGTGGCCACAGGAGGCTATGGAGACCCTGCAGTGCTGCTTTGAGGCAACACACCGGGATGTTTTCTGTGATGCACATGGGCAGGACATCCACACACTCACGGACTGTGTTATGGATTATATTAACTTCTGCATGGATTATACAATCCCCACAAAAACAGTTTGCTGCTCTCCCAACCATAAACCTTGGATCATTCACCAAGGACATCAAGGCAGCTCTGAACAGGAAGAAGGCTGCCTTCAGGAGGGGGGACAGGGAGAAGGTGAGGAGAGCGCAGTCTGAGGTGAGGGGCAAGATCAAGGAGGGTAAGGAGCAGTACAGGAGAAAACTTGAAAACAAACTGGCCCAAAACAACATCCGAGAGGTGTGGAATGGGATGAGAAGCATCACTGGTGACCAGGAAGTAGAATACAGACGTGTGGTGGACAGAACCACCTGCAATTCAATGATGGAAAAACTAAAGAGCTGCAGGTGGACTACAGGAAGAAGATCAGCCCCCCCAATCCTATCAACATCAAGGGTACTAAGGTGGACACTGTGGACTGCTACAAGTACCTGGGATCCACCTAGATAATAAACTGGACTGGACAGCTAACACCAACACCCTCTACAAGAAAGGACAGTCGCCTTTTTCTTCTGAGGAGACTCGGGTCCTTTAACATCTGCAGGACCATGCTACAGATGTTTTACCACAAGGTGGTCTCTGTAGGACCATGCTACAGATGTTTTACCACATGGTGGTCTCTGTAGGACCATGCTACAGAAGTTTTACCACACGGTGGTCTCTGTAGGACCATGCTACATATGTTTTACCACTCGGTGGTCTCTGTAGGACCATGCTGCAGATGTTT